CACACACGCGGGGCAGGATTTTATCGAGGCACAGATCTAGGGAAGGGTACAGAAACATTTCTGCAGCTTTGAAGGTCCTAGTGAGCACAGTGGCCTCCATCATCTGTAAATGGGGAAAAAGTTTGGAACCACCAGGACTCTTCCTAGAGCTAGACCTAGAGCAAACTGAGCGATCGGGGGGAAAGGGCCTTAGTCAGGGAGGTGACCAAGAACCTGATGGTCACTCTGACAGAGCTCTAGCGTTCCTCTGTGGAGAGAGGAGAACCTTCCAGAAGGACAACCATCTCTGCAGCACTCCACCAATCAGGCCTGTATGGTAGAGTGGACAGACAGAAGCCACTCCTCAGTAAAAGGAACATGACAGCCCACCTGGAGTTTGTCAAAAGGCACCTGAAGGACTCTCAGACCATGGAAAACAAAAGTTCTGGTCTGATGAAACAAGCTTGTAGCATCGTACTCAAAGACTTGAGGCTGATAATTGCTGCCAAAGGTGCTTTACCAAAGTATTGAGCAAAGGCTGTGAATACTTATGTTCATGTTATACTTTCGTTCTTTATTTTTAATAAATTTGCAAGAATACTTTTACGTTGTCATTATGGGGTATTGTGTGTAGAATTTTGAGGGGGGAAAAAATTAATTTAATCCATTTTAAGGCTATAACATAAATGTGGAAAAAGTGAAACACTGAAAACTTTCCGGATGCACTGTAGGTACCAGAATCAAAATGTCTTCATTTATAGTATATGGTATAATGGGTATATGGTCAGCAATGCTGTGACTCGCTGGTCCGTTCCTGGGAATTTTACATGGATCACAAAGGGTTTAACAAGGAAAAAATAATAACCAGTTGTTGTCAACTAAAAACAGTATCAATATGTTTCCATCTGTAAAAAACATTTTACTGCTGCAGTGGCATGGTCAGAGGTCTGAGGTCTGTTATGGGCAGGCTATGGAACTGTGTGGTTAGTGTGGTGTAGTGGTGCCAAGGGATCTGGGTACAGTTTTATTTTTTTATTAGGTGCAGATATTACAATCAATACAGGCCCACAGCCGTCTGAGATAACATGAATTGTGCATTTTGAGTAAAGTATTATTTCTTATTTCACCCACTCATGAAAATTGGACAACTATGTCATGGCTTCGCCATCCTAGGAAAAACATTCAGCTCGTAGAACACTACTGAATGATGAGCATCAGTGGGGATTTAGAAATGGGCAGAAGTAGATATACGTCATATACCTCTGCATACCCTGCACTACAGCGCTGTTCGTTCAACTGCTTTAATGGTAAAACAGGAATTTGTTCTTTTAATTGTTTTAATTGTTCTGGGATCAAGGAGGATCATGTAGAATCCACCATGATCCCATTTTTCATCTACTGCTCACGTTGTAATGCAGAGTGCTTCTTCCACTTTTAAGGTAATTAGAGGTGGGTCTGCATTATTCTGATCTCACAAACTGTAAGGTTTCCATATAACCGATGCAGTTGCATTCTGATAAGGCAGCTTAAACCTGATTTGAAGAGAGCGTTTGCTGCAGTAGCAGAAGAAGGCGGTGGGGACTGCTACAGGTAATATAAAGATAATGCTGTTTGAGCTCAGAAAGACAGCACAGAGTGTGGAGATATTTTCATTTACTGTCTGCTGCTGCTGTACAGTGCGTGCTATATAAATATTCATACTGCATGTGTGGAGTGCATCGATATATGTGCACACAATATGTTTGTTTATGTTTGCGTGAATTTCCATCTGTACTGATTCAGAGGGTCCAACACATGAATGAAGGAACCAGAGTGGGATAAACACAAAGCAGTATGAACAGGAATAATGATGCTGTTTTTTAATATCACGTTTATAATTTCTTATTTATGTTTGTGAAGCAATTCTGAGAAGCATCTTTGCACAGAAATGGATACTTTTATTATATTCTCATTAGGATGACATTTACTTGTTATAATAAATGTTCGGTGTTCTGTCTTGCGTCATTTCTCCTAATTAGCAGTTCCTATCCAGCCCTTCAGAGTCACAGCTGCCTCCCTGCAAGCCCCAGTCCAAGTCTAAACCTCCTCAGCTCAAGTCCAAACCTCAGGCCAGATCTAAGGGGAAATCCAAGTCGCGTCAGAAGAATGTTGCGCCCACTAAGACCGCTGGCAAGCCCCTGCCCACGATGCCACCATTTGACTTTGAGGGCTATCTGAGAGAAAAGGACAACAGAGACTTTAAGATGCTCATAGACCAGCCAGAGAAATGTCACATTGGAGGAGCAGAGGAAGAAGCTGCTCCCTACATGCTTATTGCCGTGAAATCTATCGCTGCAGATTTTGACAAACGTCAGGTAAAATATGCTGTGCTGCCAAAACAAATACACTTCAGTTTTGTGAAATTAGCTGTGAATCAGTACAGACATTTGGCTGTATTTTATTTTCATAATAACAGATGCTTTGAAGTTTAAAGCTGCTATAATTTTATAGTAACAATGGATCAAATGATTACATGTAATGTGAAGGAGCAAAAAATCTGTTGCTTGTGAGCAGCAGCATTTAGTAGCTAAGGATCCAGATCTCTGGAGTTGGAGACCAAAACCAGAGCTAAAAGGAGAGTGATATTCAGTCCCTACAGGAAGTACTCTAAATAAGGTGGACTAAATTGCTGGTGCATCATTGCAATTTTTACGCAAATTTGATCAATAATTCTAGTTTATTGTAGTTTCCTATGCAAAACGTTGAGCCATATGTCACCTAACTCACTTCCTTGTTTCTAGTTGTGAAGATGCAGACCATGCAGACGTGCGATGCAAATGGTTCACATTTACCCTTCAAACTGTGCAATTTTATTCTTACCGGATCAAGCTGCCTTCGACTTTTAATTAATCTTTGAAAAAGCAAAGAAATACCTCAACAATTATCACTTTGTCCCACAATTTCTTTGCAATGCCTACGAACATTACACCATGCATTGCAATTTGTTTAGAAAGCTGCCATGAAATCAGGCATTTTAGGCAGCAACAATCCCCCCCAAAAGTCCTCATGGGACCGAATATTGTTCCTAAATAATAAACACATAAACTCATCTAAAATGAATACTATGAATATGAATACTAATGTTGGACTGTGTCTAAATAAGTAACTGTTGCCCCCCAAGTGGGCAAAAAATCTATTAATACAGGTTTAACCTAAAATTGTATTCACTCAGTTACTTAAAAATAATCTCTTTCTCTCTACATTTACTTATCTTTAGGTGGTACGTCGGACCTGGGGGAAAGAGGGACTTTTCCAAAATGGCGTATCCATCCGAACGGTTTTCCTGCTGGGGGTTCCCAGGAATCGCACCGCTCTTCCTCTGTGGGACCGGCTCTTGACCTACGAGAGTCAAACCTTCAGGGATATCCTGCTCTGGGACTTTGACGACACCTTTTTCAACTTGACGCTGAAGGAAACACATTTTCTAAAATGGGTCAACAGCAGCTGTCCTCATGTCAAGTCAGTGTTTATAAAACTAAATCAGGACTTGATCTGATTCTCTCCTCATGTGACTGTCACTCTCTGATGCTTTTTCCTGTTATTGTTTACTTATGCAGGTTCATCTTCAAGGGTGATGCCGATGTGTACGTTAACGTGGAGAATATACTAGAGATGCTACAAGGTCAAAAGCCTGACGAGGATCTGTTTGTTGGTGATATTATAATCAACGCTAAACCCATTCGCCGGCGCAGTTCCAAATACTATGTGCCAGAGTTTATTTATGGAGTGGGTTTGTATCCGAATTACGCTGGAGGAGGAGGGTTTGTCATGTCGGGGCATACGGCTCGGAGACTAAGCTCAGCCTGTCAACAGGTACTTCAGAGTTGGACAGTGTAAATATTTTAGCTTGCCTGTTTTAGGATTAATTTATCAGTTGTTTTTTTTCCCCACTACAAGGTGGAGTTGTTCCCCATTGATGATGTCTTTCTGGGAATGTGCCTCCAGCTGATCGGCATCAAACCATTGCGCCACCAGGGCTTTCGGACCTTCGGAATTCCCCGTCCGTCTGCAGCGCCCCACCTTCAGACGTTTGACCCGTGCTTTTACAGGGAGCTCATGGTTGTTCACAGCCTCAATGTTCCTCAGATCTGGCTCATGTGGAACCTCCTGCACGACCCCAAACTGACCTGCCACAACAGGACCAACCCGACATCCCAGCCCTTTAAGTGGAAGGGGAGGGTGGGAGAAGCCGAGGGAGAAGAGACGGACTACGGCGAGAAGCAGGTGTTTGTCACGCATTAGTGACTCTGGTTATAGAGCAGGATCTGCGGCCAACTTGAAAGGCTTGCGATGCGTTCAAAAGCACAGTTGAGTAAAGTGAGACTTTATCCAAGCTGGCAGATCATCTCTGGGGAAATGAATTGGCAAATGTGCTTCAGATTTTTCAGTGAGGAAGGCCAAAGAGAATTTAGGCTTTTGCCATCTGAGCCCATCTTTATGTTCATACTGTGTTTGTGAACAACCACACAGCAAGACCTTGCAAAGAAGATTGTGTGATGACTTGAATCTTACTGGACTTTTGAATGTGTAATCTTCAGAATTGTATGTGTGTTGTGTGTATTGTTTACACAGAGGTACGGTAAGACCCACGAGGAACGCGGTTAGCTGGTTTAACCTTGTGTGTTTCTGAGACCACAACACTGTTAATATTGGGACTTTGGTTGGACGGTGTGGACAGCCAGGACTGCCAGTGGCCGTGTGTGCTGCGTGAGTAGAAAGACTGCAGAGGCTTTTTGTGTTCTCATCGTGACTCACAAGCAGAGATGTCCCTCACTTCCTTCCCTCCTTATGCTGGATAGAAACACAAATGGACAGTCGCATTATCTGTTCCCTGGAGGAACAACAAATGAACCTAAATGGAAACCAGCTGCACACTGGGAACCAGCTGGGACCATAGCGCGTGCACACACGCGCACAGAACCTCTTGTGAATGTTTGTGGAAAAGCCAGGCATGTGTACTTTCATGTGAACAGTTATCACTATAATTATAATGATTTGTTTTGTGAAATGATGTGTTTTCCTCTGCAACGCTTTATATCTTTACCCTCATCTGTTTTCAAAATGTTAAAAATACTGCAAGGTAGATTTATGCTGACAAACATAATCAACTGCATTCAGACAGCAAAACATGTTCACAGATCTTAGACATAAACTTATTTGTGATTGCTCAACGTGCTCATGTGCTCTGGACTTTTCCATTGTAACACGGCTCTATGCACTGTTTGTCTGCCCTCCACCTTTAACATAAAAACTTGATAGACATTCATGAACTGTAAAAACTGGTGATCCCCTGACTTTTGATTTAGCACTAACCTCAATTAAAGTTTAAAAATGAACTTGTCCAATGATATTCCCATCAGCTTCAGCTGTACTTTCACTTTGGCCCTAAACAGCAAATGTTAGCATGCTTAGCTGAGACACGGATAACGCTATCCCCACTTGATGATTGGAGTAAAATAGATTTAAAAAAAAAAAAGAAATTAAGCAATTACAGCTTGCACAGAATTTGAAATTAATCATTTCAATTTTGCACTCAACTCGTGGGTGCAAACATTTTTAAACATCAACAAGCTAATTTGATTTTAGATGTTTAAAGGACCAGTGTGTAGGATTTGTACGGTTTGCAATTCCCTCGCTTCACCCTCCCCTTTCAAGCGAGGTGGCAACGAAACGCACAAAAGAAGCGAAAGGCTCTACCTAGAGCTCGGTCATGGACTACTGTAAAAACATGGTGGTTCAACATGGCGGCCTCCATGGAGGGCGACCCTCTGCGTCTGTAGATAAAAACTGCTAATTTAAAGGAAACAAAAACAATTCTTATTTTCAGGTGACTGTAAACTAATGGAAACAACTATGAATATTAAATTCCTTTTCTGCCAATAGATCCTCTTAAATGTACACACTGGACCTTCTGTCTGGTATTGTCATGTCTGTTGGTCAGTGTGGATAATTCAGAGTGTCGGTTTATTAATTACAACAGTGTGTGAAATGATCATCCAACACAGCTACAGAGGTAGCTGAGCTCCTACGCCAACATACATGATTAAGTGATGTGCTTACTGTGTATGTCCTGGATGTGCCATTTACATACATTGGCAGACAGTTATAAATATCTAAGCTCCAGGCTGTGATGTTGTTTTTTCCCATTTTTAAAGGAGGTAATTAAAGGTCCAGTGTCTAACATTTAGGAGGATCTATTCATAGGTATTTTTTCAATGGTGTTTAACCAACTGAATATAGGAATTATATATATCTACAGACCACCATGTTTCTACAGTAGCCCAGAAGGGACAAACCAAACACTGGCTCTAGATAGTGGCATTCACATTTTTTATGTGTTTTGTGGACAACATAGTTTTTCCTTTGTGCTTGGAAGGGGAGGGGGAAACTACAGAGTTTTGATTTGCAACCACACCGCTAGATATCACTAAATCCTTCATACTGGACCTTTAGGGGAACTCAAAACTATTGTTTTTTTTGTTTGTTTTTTTTAAAAGAAGCACCAAAAAAATACCTTAGGATCTCACAGGAGAGAATACACTAGGTATTTCCTACCTTATCAGTACAAAACTATTCATGTCATTGTGACTAACAAGAATATAATTCTGCCAGGAATTACACTAATACTAAACAGATGTTGAGGTTCAGCTCAAGTCAAACGTCAAATTTGCTAAATAAATCTGAGTTTCGAGGTTGTGCAAAGTGAGGAAATAAAAACCTCCCAAACTTTTTCACATCCACATTTTTTTATTGTTTTTTCATATCCTGGTTGCACACACAGAAAATGAACTTTGATGTCAATGAACAGTGAGCATCTTTTTTCATAAAGTCCAAATGTTGCATTGGAGTTGTTAAGAGACGGCACAGCAGTAGCTTATCTCAACAACCGTCATCAAACACAGTCAAAAGTAATTTGCTGGAGCAAAGCTTTCAGTCAACCTCCTCTTTGCACTACATGGTATTGTTATTGCCTTTTTTCAGTGGACATGCTGAATAAATCTACTTATTTCTTCATACACAAAGTTATAGTATTCAAAATATAAAACGCCACATTCCAATGAATTTCACAAGTTTTAATTAGGTATAACTGCTCCATTTCCAGAAATGGGTTTAAAATGTCCACAAAAAAATATTCTGAGAATAAGCAAGATGGGCAACAGAACATATGATACCAAGAACAGACAATACAAAGCGTTAATATGAGATTATCATTACACTGAACTGAAGCTGTCAGTTATAAATTACAACAATCTGGTTATAACAATCATTCATTCCTGCATTCAATGAAATAAAAATAAAAAGAACTGGTGGAATTTAAAAGCCACACAGACCTCCGGATTAAAGTTTCCACTTCTTTTTCTGTCTTACAAATGATTAGAAAACAAGGATGTGATATGTCCACCTGAGTTTGGGTGAGATTAACTACCCAGCACCCTATAGCTCCTCTGTCCCTCTGTGTCTCAGTAACAACGCATCATAACAGCACTGACCTCCTGTGGCGCCGCGTCGGGCTGGGCTTACCAAAACTGAGTCAATGAGTAGAAACTTTTTTTTCTCTTCCTTCTCATGTCTGCATCTAATGTGTGTATTGTGCTGGGCTCAATTTCCCCCAAATAATTGAGGATTTACGTCCGTTTTTGCGCAGAAGCAAGTTGATTGGCTTCACTCACTGCTGCCTCCACTGCTCCTGTTCTTTCCTATCGTGTTTGACCCATCTGCTTCCAATGTTAGCTCGGAGATGTTTTTGGTGGCAACCAATTCTTTCATATTCAGCAGAGTGTGGAGACAAAGAATGCTTTTCCCTGCTCGTTCTAATGACAATATTTTTGTTTTCTTTTGCTTAAATCATGTATTCCACAGTAACTCTGATGCACTTTTAAGGGTTGTGAATATTTGCACATTGTTCTGGGTGTTTGGTGTTGGTATAAACACACACACACACACACACACACACACACACATACACCCCACATGAAACAGAGTACAAAACATAATGTTGGTTAAAAAAAACACCCTGAAAAACGCATCCTAGCTTTGGGAAACCCAACCCAACCTGCCATTCTCTACAGGTAACAGGAAAAGTAAAACGACTGAGACGGGCATAATACCATGTTAGCTTGTCGCTAATGTTCAGTGACACGCACACATACTGTACAATGATGCAGTTCAAATGCATTCTTAAATTGTATGTACAAGGAGATTCCTTTTTTACGGAGGACATAAAGACAGAAGTCAAAGACAGGCTCGGTGGGAGATGAGGCACAATGTTCAACAGTTTTGTGTTTTCTTTTTTTCTCGATTTTCTCGTATTTGCTTGCACAAAAGCAAGCTGTAGGAAGATGTTTGAATATAGCTTTCATGTTATATTACATCTGCTTCCTGGTTCAGCTCGAGATGTGTGTAAACCGGAGCAGGAGCAGGGAACTTTGTGTTCCCAAGTTCATCAAACTTTGCTGGACTAATTAAACATCTTAAACCTGGGAGCCAAATGAGAAAATGAGTTTGTTTGTTGGAATTCATCCTCAAACACCGCTCTAGCATTTTTGGAATCCCAGTTTAAGAAACCGTAAGGTAAAACCTTCATCTCTCCTGCTTCCCGAAACCACATCACCTCACTTAGGAAGGAAGTCTGAGTACAAGAACGCTGCAGCCAAAGAGATGCTTTTTATAGTGTAAACAAGTAGACGTATAATCTAGCAACATGCCAATGCTAGACTCCGAATCAGGTTCTGTCCACTCTACAAAAACATCTCTACCAGAGCTCTCCTCCAGTCCAAATGTGAGGAAGGATCTTTGTTTTCTCTGCCTGTGTAAATGAAGCTTTGCTCTTTCTGAGGATCAAACACCCTGCAGTAGCAGTTCAAGCTGAGCTGAAGCAGGGTGATCTACTGCCACCCGTCATGCCTGTGTACTTACAGCCTTTAGCATTGCACAAGTTTCAATACTGAGTGGTCTGGAATTGAAAAACAAAAACAAAAAACTTCCAGTGATTGTTAATGAGTGGGATGTGAGCAGATGCCTCCTCCTGATGTTAAAGTCTAATCAGAATCAAGGAGGAAATATTGAGATACTCAGCCAGTGCCTGAGTCAGCTGTGTCTGTGCCAAGCCATTGAGCTCATGTAAATAAGAGGACACCAGAATAAGAGCACACAACTATTTACAGCATTTGTACATCAACATCAACTCCAAGCATCAGGGCCCGAATACACACTCAATTATTTCCCAGAACAGCCTGGCTAACTGGATTTACACAACACCGGAATTCATTTCTACAACTGCTCTTGAACGTGGTCTTCACCTGGTTGTTTGCACAGTCACACAGGAAGTGGGTTTTAACAGTGCTGAAGTTCAGAGCCATGCTGTGCCAAAAACAAGGTATAGTAAACAAAGGCTACTGTTGGTGAATTGTAAACGAAAAAATAAAACTGCACCCTTGATTAGGAATTATAATGAATCTGAAAAGTAGACACTTAAATGAGTGTTATGACGAAAAAAAAGGTCATACTATTATTTTTGTGTTAACTGAAAAAACGCTTTAAAGTACAGTTGGTTGGTTGGTTGCTGGTCACAAGCTCACTCACACTGTGATGGCACTTGGTTTCGGTGAGGGATAAAATCAATTAAATCAATTTAGTCAGTCGGGGTTGTTTAAAAACAGGGTGCTCGTACCAAGTAATGAAAACATACAAAATAAAACACCAGTGAAGCAAGTTTGAATGTCAAAGCTCACTTCAAACTGCTCGGTGTACCCCAGCTTTACAGAAAAAAAAAAAAAAAAAATAGAAAAAACATTTCAGCCAGTCAGAAAAAAATGGTGTTTTTGCAAACCACCTACACACAGCCAATGTGGCATTTTTACACTCTTAATTTTCCAGTCAGCACTTTAAACATTTCGCCATGTATGCGGGCCCTGACTTCAACCCTGATGCCTTCACACACGTTGCTACAAACAATCAGAAGTTCAGCAATAGTGAAAGTAAAAAACAAATGGCATTTGTTTCAAGTGACAATAAAGGAAAATATGTGTATTAAAATGAATACACAGTTTATTCAAATGCTTATGGTTTAAAAGATTTGAAATTCATACATTGGGAGGGAGATGCAAACAAACGTTAGGATGAAGGAATGACTGTTTTTCCCCCCATTTCCAAAATGGGTTTAAATGCACTGAATGCACAGAGAAATAATGGTAATGCTTTTAATTACAGCTCTCTAATAACCACCGAGACAGTCACAAGCAGGACGGAACTACTTGTTACTGTTGTTATTGTGTCTCTGGCTGTAACCAAATCCACGTGAAAGACAGGCTGATTGGTTTCAAAACACTCAGCTATTCACATCTTGTGTAATTACTGTCAGCAGTTACAGAAACAAGGAGCTGAATTTAGAGGCTTTACCACGGCAAAGACTTTGATGTGCAGATCTAAAACAAAAGATGCCGGAGAAACACGACTCTCTCCATGGGACAGGTTTGGACAAGAGATTACAGTGATAATGTCAAATGAAGTCATCCTGAAACGTCTTTGGCTGTAGCATTTGGCAATTCAACAAAGAAATGAATGCAGACATTGCCGAGGGATGAATTGCAATGCATCAATCAGATAGAGAGATGGAGAAAGAGCAGAGGAAAGGAGGAGAGTGTTACATGACTGCATACACCAATGGAGGGGGGCGGGGGGCTTCTCATCTGTCCAAACTTATGGATAAAAACACACTTTCACACACACCACTATCCCTCCACAAATCCATCTCTGAGGATAGGGCTCAGTCAACCAATCAAGTATAAAGGTGTGTATTAGTGCAAATGTAAAAACTGTTTGAGAAAAAAAATAAAAAATAAAAAATAAACCCATAATGAATGGTCATGGTGTGAATGAGTCAAGCAGAGCAGAGAGAAATAAAAGAAAACTGTGTGTCAAGTCCCCTTACAACATGCAGGACCAAATCAACAGAACAGGATGCCAGTTTGTGCTTGTAATAGGTCTCCTCTCATTCAAAAAACGTCTGCCAAGTTCATGCAAATCCTTGTGTCATGCCTGCATGTCTCCATGTTTTATCACGCTTTAGAAAAGGCTAAAAAGATAAACCAGCTGTCGTGTATTAGAAATACATGTGAGTATTGTAGTGAAGGAATTGAAATGCTGTGTGTGTGTGTGCTTGAATTGAAAGTCTGTTGAAATGTCAATTAAAAAAATCAGCAGCCTAACACATGCAGAGTGTGTGTGTGTGTGTAAGCCAGGACACAGACATGCCAATGTCCAGAGCTGCAAATAACAACAGCTGTGGGGTTAATAGAGTGTTTACTGCTGTGTGCTTCAGTGTGTGTGCGTGTGTGTGTGTGTGTGTGTGTGTGTGTAGGGGAGGGTGTGTGGGAGGGGGGGGCACCACTGAAGAAAGGTGGAGGAAGAGTGAGTAGGAAGGGAGCTGATGCTGGATGTTTGGATCATTCGGCTTTGCGAGGCGTCATATCTCGTCCCCCTGGCGCTGCGGGCGTGTTCTGGGCCCACACGTCTCTCCACACCCCTGAGTGCGTTTGGTTTTCTTCTCTTGTACGACAAAATCTGGACTTTTTGGTTACAGTCCTCTGCAGCTTCCAATGCGTTTGGCTCTGATGGCTCTTGGTTGGACTGGGCCGGTTTGGTTCTTTGCGGTTTGGATGCGTCCGGGTTTTGATTGAGCCAGTCGGGTCTGGTTCTGAAGTTGCGGCAGGAAGACAGGCCGTACTGGTTGGGCTGGCAGTGTGGTTGGTTGATGTGTATTCAGTCAAGACTTTGGCCACAGCAGTTTTCATTGGCGACGATGTCAAATACACAACTTTATGTTGGACGTTACAGTTTTTACAATTGCTAAAACACCTGACCCCATTCTCTGAAACGCTCAGAGCCCCAGACCCCTTTATCCAATCATTCACTCGAGGTGTGGAGTCTTGTCGAGGCTGGATCCAGCACACCAGAGGGTTCTTCCCCCGTTGCCTGGCAACATCGCCTGTGATGTAGACAAAGTCATCTGGCTTGAGCAAACACAAAAGACGTGATGCTGAGGCCGAATGAATTTCTCATCTGCATTACAGCACTGTAATACTTGCAGTTCTTACAGTATGTGATATGTTCTGTACTGAGTTGTGAATATACATGCAAAATGCATTTATGTAACATACTCAGTAGCAATGTTTTTCTGTTTCATGCCATGAACACTGTTTTCTATTTTTTGATGTGGTGATAAAAAATTTTGATTTTGCCAGAAGAGAAAGGGGCTGTAGGTTTGTCTTAGCTATTGTGAAAAACTGTAAACACTGTGATTTGTTGCAGATGATATTTAATTGCTGATCATCTTGGTTCTTGCCATATACAGGCTGCCAACAAACTCTTCTTCTGTGGTCCTTGGCAAATGCAGTCACAGGATGGAAACAGCAAACAGGATTCTTCACCATGTCAGTCTGCAGCACCTCCGTGATATTCCCACACAACCAAGAAACCCTTTCAAAACATTAGTGCTCCTACACTGTGGCCACATCACAAGGTCCTGGTTCCTGGTATAGTCTGGGTTGGGTTAACTGTGCCGACTGGGTGTGTCCGACTGGAAGAGTCTCGAGTCTCAGGACGCACCAGGAGAAGCTGATTTTTATATTTATTCTGAGTTCTGGTTGTGTTTCTGTTGAACGAGTAGCGTCTGAGCTGGGCTAAGAATAACTTTGTTGCTCTGGGTTAGGTCTGCTTGGTTAAGAATCTGGCTCTGGGTTAGAGGTTCAGTCAGTAGAGGTACTAGATTCAGGACAGGCCAGAATGGGATGTGGTTCTGGTTACTTGCTCAGTGGGAACTACTACTAGACTCAGGTCGGGCTTGACTGGCGGTCCGTGGGGCACCATAGAGGGTCACTGATGCTATGTGGTTATTCTGCATCACCTGAGGAAGAGGCAGACAGAAAGTGTGTTAGAGTGGACTGGATCACACATTAAAGTATGCATTTGAAATATTCTGAAATATTCAGACAATGGGTCCATTCTCAAGGCTTTTGTTTTGAAAATATTAATGAAGTAAAATGAAGAAAACTAATTTAAATTACGATTGTGAACAAAATTGTGTAATTTCCTTTGACACATTATTAGTACAAGTACCAGCTTCAGAATTTCTATTTAATCCAGAGTACATTTTTGACATAATGGCAATGAAAAAACAAAGACCAACTTTGGATAATGGTTATAGTTATTAATGAGCCCTTCAGACAACCAATGCATCTATGTTAACTATACACATATTGTCCACACTCCAATGCCAGCAAAGGCTACAGAGGTACGTGTTCGGACCTCAAAGATCATCCTCTGCAGTCCAAAGCAGAAGGTAGAGCCGAAGGGGTTGGTGTTATTGGCTGATGAGGACCTGTCAAACACAAACACCCAATGTCAGAAAGGGCACTCACTTGGATAGAAGCTATTTATAAAAATCTTGTACTTAAAATAGCAATGTAATGTCGTGTGTGTGTGTGTGTACCTGTGCAGCACTACAGGCTTTTCCATGGGGTGACCCAGTAGTTCCTGAATCTGATCCCACTGACAGAGAAACAAAAGGTTAGCCGCATGTTTGTCCACCTGTACCACAACGTCAGGAGAACTGTAGAAAAGGTTGATTAGGGGAACAGCAACAAGGCTGTGGTTGTATTAGCATCCAGGTGATAGTGCTGCTGTTTCCATTGGCGGAATACATTCAGACACACTGTGTAGTAAAGGAGACAGAGACTGTAGATCAAAGTGGCATTGCTGAAGTAAAGATCAAACTATCCTGTTTTCACTAAATAATCATCTCCATAACATTTTTTTAAACAAAATTGAGGCAAATTCTGGGATACTTTTAGCTTTTGGTGAATAAAAGTGCTGTCACAAGACTTTTATTATAGTACTTCCTCTGTGGCAACATCAGAAGATAACTGCAGCCTCAGTCTGAAACAGATGTCACATTATCCAACTTTCATGGCATGAAACAAAGGCTGTACTAGTGATCCAGAGACCAGGTTTTAGAAGTGGCAATGGCAACGAAAAACAGAAAACTGAACTATGTAATATCCTACAAAGAGGTAGAGTCCGAAATTAGAAAGCTGAACTCAGTCATCAGACTAAGAGACCTTTCAACAAAGCACAGTTCAATAAATTTCCATATCCCAATTCCATATCTGACCTTGCTGTAGGTGGTTAAGATGCAGTCCTCCGTCTGAGAATCGGCTCCTTCTAAAGTGCAGAGAGAGAGAGAAGAAAAAGACATTAGATGAAAGGCAACACACAGGGTTCATTTATGACTGAAAACTGTCTCACCTTTCTTAATGACTAGTGGAATCTTAAAGTCACATCGATGGTATCTGTGATGAGAGAGGAAACATAATCAAAAGTCCAGAAAATTAAACTAAGGACAGAAATGTCAGTGTTTTTGCCCCGTAGCTGATGCCCGCAAGCCGGTCGTAACAATGTAGATAATCACACACAGATGATGCAGTCTCGTCAGCCATGATGGAGGATCATGAAGAAAGAAAGAAAACAACTAGATATTTACATATTGAAGTTGTAATGTCCGGGGAAGTTGGTATGGAGGACAAACTTCTTAACCAGGTGACTTGTAGAGTCAAACAGGATATCCTGAAAAATAAAAAAAAAGACAATACTTTAGGTTTGCTTTTGCGCCATGTTTGCCCAGACCAGCTCACTACAGTCCTATCTACTGCAAACAGCGGGGCGAGTAAATGCAGATAGAGGCAGGATCACTCCCCCACACCCACCCATCTTTGTTGCCAGCTGGCCACCGAGCAGACGCAGAGGAGCTCAAGCCTCTTGTTCAGAGGATCTGAGCGGTGGTCCAAAAAAAAACAACTAAAAAAGGATCGTTTGTGCCAAATGATTGAAAACTAAGTGACCAAAACAACCGAAACTCCTATTTCATGCAATCCCACAGTCCTGTAATGAATACTTTCATGCACCCTACTTTACAGTTATTTTAAAAATCAGCTGTGCATGTGATTAGAAAAGAGCTGAGAAACAGAATCGCTTGTTGACCACCATCAAAAAATGTGCTTTTGATACGAACAGCCTATTCATTTTGAAAGAGCAACAGCTAATCAGGAACTCTAACACTCAACCGGACCAATGGTTTAACTTAATCACTGGCTCAGTAACTGAGTAAGTCTTGGACTATCACCTATGTAGGGCCTGGTCCAGCCAAAAGCGCAACCTCAAAAGAATACAAACTCATAAACATGAATATGCCTAGGCTGAGTTTACGTACCACTCCGAGGGTGAAGTAGTTGAAGAAGTAGTCGTTACATTTAGAAGGAACCTGCTTGTGAGGTGATGGAGAGTGGATCTTCATCTAAAATAAAGAACGATACAGAGAATCAATGACACTGTATGTCTTCAAGATTAATGCCGCAATTAAATATTTTCTTCTTCGGCAGATATGGAAAAACATTTGCATTTATCTGCAGTTGTGTTTCTGGTCACCTGATGAATGCTGAGCAGTCAGAGTGATACAAGATAGAATGTAGATCAACATAGGACGAGCAGAGCTTAGTGAAAATAATACGCGTAGTTCTAACAACAACAACAACAACAACAAGAAAGAAAAACCCTGAAAGGAACAGAGTTTTCTTACCTTGTCCTCAGACTTGTAAAAGACTTTATGTGGCGAGCCCAGAGCACCCAGTACATCCTGACAGGAATCGCCAAAGTAGATGTTCCTTTCTAGGGACCTCACTTTAGAATCAGCCATCACACCTGGACCACAACCTGCACTCACACATCACAACGCAACAGGAAAGGAAATCACTCCATCTCCAGATAAATAACAAGAACACAAAGTCAAACAGCACGTCAGAGAATAGCAGTGACAATGATGGACCATAAAGCTAGACAGACATTGCCCAGCCAGGTAGCTGCAGCTAAATCTGTGTTTATCCATTTTACACTATTTCAAATAAAAGGTTAAATAGTTTAAGATGAGTCTGCAGTAGAGACAGACAAATGTATTGTGATCAATATGGTTAATACTTAATACAAATCAAATGCAAAGTGATCATTGGCAATTTAAAAATATTTAGTTGCAAGAGAGAAACACAAACATCAAGTGAATCAATCTGATATGAAGACATGCGAGGAAAACTTGTTGAGTCCAGTTCGCAGTCCTCAAGACAGAGACATGTGTTACCTGCAGTGAGGAGGCGGAGTTTGAGCCCCAGAGGTCCTGCCCGGTCTCTCAGGACGTCAACGCACTCTGCAAAGATGTTACCAAGGAAACAAGCCAACGGCATCACCGGAGCTCTGAGGACAGAGAGAACAGCAGTGTGTGTGTGTGTGTGTGTGAGTGCGTCCTTCATTACTGACGTTTTGTATTTGTGTTTCTTATGGATTTTTGTTCTTTTTGTTTTTACTGTTCACACGTGTTAAAACTGTGAAAACTCCACAAAGTCATACTAGTGTGTGAACTTAAGGATCTCAAGCAATGTCTTTTGGTAAAAGGCAGTGATAAGATTGATACATTGCTACAATATTCACTAAATCTTCTAAAAAACACTCATCTATACAACAACAATAAACCAGCGACTATATCAAACAGTAACCATCAAAACTGTGAGCTAATGACTGATCATATGGCCACTAATCAATGATCATCTACCGCTGTTTGTCCTCCAAAGGTTGTGTTTGTGTATCTGAATATGTGCGTGCGTTACCTTGTTTCTTGCAGATTGTTGCCAGTGTATATGTGCATCCTCTTGACCATGGCCCCGTGTGGAATCTGCAGGGAGGCCAAACCCATGGCAAAGTTAGGCTGCCAAGGCAAAACAACTTGGAGTAATACGGGACTGGAATATACTGGGTTTGTGTGTGCACATCAACAAACTGTACACATTAAGAAGACATCGCACAACAATTTGACGTTTCACAAAATACAGATGTACAGTACATTTCACCCAACTACAGAAAGATGTGATCATTTATGATAAAGCACTGTGGAGTGGAGACCTCATAACGCACTGACTGACCTATATAGCAGTGGGAAAAACTCAATGTTTCCACAGATCGGTGGTGAGACTACATTTTAATCCAACTTGGATCTCTGTCAGGTAGAAACTTTTTTTTATCTGGGAGAGGTCCAGTATCTAATCAAAATTCATTGTGACTCAGCAGGTTACTTCATTTTGTTTCTGATTTCTTTATGTGCATTTCCAAGTTGCACTCATCACCACCTAGCAAACAGAGATGCAAAACATCTGCATGAGTCATTCTTAAATTAAATAAAAGCAAAAGTCTTAAGGAGTTTACAGAAAGTTATCCTTAGTGTTTTTATCTATTTGCCCTTAAGGTTTCAAGACATTTGGCATTAACATTTTCAGAATTAATTAAGTTCAATGGAAAGGGTGAAAAATACTCTTTGAAGTCACCATATAAGGGATTATGAGTTACAACGGTGTGATAGTTACAAATTCAGACGTTGAATGTGGGAAAAGCAAAGGGATCTGAATGTGTTCTGAACATAATGCAATATAAACCTCTGTGTCTTTATTTATTCTCTGTACACTAGCAGTTTGATCTAAAAATCCACTCAGCTCACAACGAATCTCAGACGCATCCATCTGTCATCTTACACGACAAACAGGAAACAAACTGCAGCCAAGTGTTGAGCTTTAGACAAAGAAATGCAAATATTATAACTCCAACTAGAAGCTGCAACGACCATGTTTGTACCTGCACACTGCAACTACAGATGACAAGCAAGCACAAGCTGTTTCAGTAAATCAAACAAAACCATACAGGCAACTCAAGGTGCAGCTCGGGGTGGACTGGAAGGTTTAAGAAATAATTAACACAGTCACTATCACATCACAGATATTATGTTAAAGCAGCCAAATGGCCAAACCAAAGGAGATGTGATAAGCTGCAAAAACCTTGTAAATGGGATATGAAGTCAGCTGAGGTGAACTGAACTTGTGAAAAGGAGCAGTGAAACATCAGTACGTGATGTGGCAATGCAGAATGGAGCAGACGGCAGAGCAGCTGGTTCAAGACGTGCATCACCCAAGAACTCCACAGCTGTACAGTACAGACAGTGAAACATCCACTGAGCTTCTGACTAATCCAAAAACAAAGCCACAAAGGCAAAAGCCTTTATATAATCAGAAAGAAGTATGAACATGCAGTTTGCAGATGGTTCGTGTGGACATGTCATATTGTCTCGAAAATCCAAACTGAAAGCTGCTGGGTGTCTGCGTTGTTTTGGAGAACTGAATTATGAACCAATGCTGCCGGGGCTAACCCAAGTCCCCCAACTCCCTGCTGCATTCAGATTTTCACTGCTTACATAACACTGCAATGAGTCTTTGACATATCAACAGTACAACGCTGCAAATCGTACTTGGTGCTTTTTGAAAACTGTCAGAAACATCCAAGAAAAAAATCTTTTGTGCCCAAGTATAAACAAGCAGTGAGACCATCACATTGTCAACATGCATTTGGTTTCTTTTTTCAGTCCCACACTGTTTATCATGATGACGTAACACCAAGCTGACAGGGATTCGGGGACATGCTAAAGGAAAACACAGAGCTTGACCTCAGACTGTCCACATAGAGGGTAATCGGTTCATTCACAAGGCTGCCCTTATTCCCCTGGGACATAAAGAAACGGCCACTCAGCCCTTCTTTAGAACGCTGACAAGCAAAATCGGGAGAAACGTTCTCACCTCGTATTTTGGAGCTTCGTTCCATGAGTCCAGTTGGAAGGAGAAAGACAGTCCTCGAAAGTTGAGATGGAACAACTGCTCTGCAGCATTGTAAACTGGACAGACAGTGGGTGGGTGAAGAAGAGATAAGTAATACCAAAATGTAGGTTCATTTTATTTGTGAGAGTGTGTTTGTGCTTTGTAAAGTACCTCCAGGGTGCGTAGCTCCAAATGACTGGTCTATTTGCTCTATTGTGGGGGCAATGGCCTGAGAGTTGAAATGGACTCCACTGAAACACAATACACACACACACAGCCAGTGTTATGTCTATTAACATTTATGTACGCTGTGCTGCATTAGTTGAGGAGACATTGCCAGAGAAGTGAAATGGATTTCACTAAAAGACATCATCCCATATTAGCCATATAGCCACCATTATTATTACATAGTTTAAGAAACACATTAAAGCAGGTAGCCTCCATTACTGTGATGTATTTCACTGAGTAGCTGTCTGAGAGAGCTATGAGTTGTAGTTGAAAACAGTCTCAGTGGCAACATAAAATGGACAGTGTACACACAATGACAATCGGTTGTTATTCAACAGGTGTGTAAAACCCCTTGACTTAATTCTGGTATTCTATATTTCTACTCACCAGTATTTTAACTTGACTTTGCTCAGGTCATACACTTCAATCACCTGTCACAAAGAAATATGGATAACGTTAGGGTACTAAGGGTACAAAACAAATTGTTAGTTAAATGTCATTAACAAGGCCACAGGAGTCAAATATCTCTGTCAATTATCTAGAAATGGGGGAAATGTTGCAACTTTGGTATACTGCTGCTATTAAATAACTGCAGAGAAACACCACAATCATCTCTCATTAATATCTGCTCTGCAAGTTCAACTCAATCCCTGTTAGAATTCCCATTTGATATCAACCAATATATAGCTGTCATTTACATACTGTGGCCTTATTGAGAGGCAGTCTCGTTAAAAATATTTTTGGGGGGAGCGACACTGGAAACACACAGAGGAGCTCTCTCTTTAAAGGACCAGTGTGGAGGATCTAGTGGCACGTTTGGTGAAGTTGCAGATGGCAACCATTTGAATACTGCTCAGCCTTGTAAGTGTGTAGGACAAACTACGGTGGCCATAAAACTCACGAAAGGCCCTAACTAGAGCCAGTGATCATTCAGGGCTACTATAGAAACATGGCGGTCTCAGCTCATTCTAATGAAACAAAAGCACAACGATTCTTACATCCTGGTGATTGTATACTAATAAAAACATACTTGTGAATATTATATTCCATTTCT